CTGCCTCAGCCTCCTGAGTGCTGGGATTATAGGCATGCATCACCACGCCCGGCTCTTTTCTATATAATCAGGAGCCTCTAGGAAGGGAAGCGCCTCGGCCTCACACATAAGCCGCACGGGTCTCCCCACCCCGCAGGGGCAGAGGGGACACCCCGCCTTCCTCCCTCCCCAGGGCTGCCTGCCTGTGCCAAAGGGGCCTGCTCGACTCCCCCACCAGGGCCTGCTGTTTGGCCGGGCCTCTGTCCTGCCCACATCCGACCCATCAGCACCTGCTCACCCTCTGCAGCTCCTCACTCGCTGCCGCTCGCCTGCCCCTCAGAAACAAGATCTAAAAGGACCAGACCCCGCACGAGTCGCTTTAGGGATTCCGGTTCCCGCCACCGCTTACAGAGCACGACGCTGACCGGACGCCCTGGCGATGGAATCCCAGCCACCAAGGCCGACCGGAGGGGCGGGAAGGGTTCTCCATGACTAAGCCAGCGCCTTCTCCCGGGTCAGGAGACGGCCTGTCCTGCTTGAGTTCCGTGATTATAAAACAGTAAGACCACAGCCCTTTACCGGGAACCCCCGGGGCCAGACCGGAAGGTGCGTGGGATTTTAGGAGGGCTGCGGGATGCACACACCACGGCTGCAGGCTGGTCTGTGCCAGGGGCGCCCCAGCACACCCATCTGTTTCATTTTCCGCAGCAAAACACGCACATTCACACACTAAGAAGGATAAATAGATTGTACCAGGTCTGGCCCAATTTTTCCCACCAGATGAAGTGAGTTTTTTGTTTGTTTTCTGGGGCACTGAGGTGTTGAACCTGGGCTTTCAAACTGAGCTACATCTCTGGCCTATATATTTAGACAGAGTCTTGCTAAGTAGCCCAGACTGGACTCAACTTGCAATCCTCCCGCCTCAGCCTCCCAAAGTGCTGGAATTACAGGCACGTGCCAGCACACTCGGCTCCAGGTAAGTTTCAGTGCCAACCTTATGGTGGAAGAATTCTTGGTCATCAGCATAGGTCGGGTTAAGGATTCTGGAGACGGCACTGCGGAGTGAACAGACCGGGGAATGTGCTGTTCTGGCTCCGCCTGCCGTTTCACAGGGGCTGGCGGGACAGGGGCAGGGAGATCAGACCCCGGTCTTCAGGGGACTCAGGAAGGGGTTCAGGCTCGGGGTTCTGCTCCGGGGCTTCCAGACAGGTGTTCCGGGTTCCCTAACTCGGGGGAAGGAGTGACTGGTGCGGAGATCAGACTTCCCGCACAGACATTCTCCCGGGGGAGCTGGCGCCAGCTGGTCACTCAAACCAGGCGCGATCGGGCCTCAGTTATGGGCTCCTGCGACGCCTGGCTCTCCTGGAAGGCCAGATGCTGCTCCGATTTATGGGGGAACCTGGGCGGCCAAAACAATTTCATTTCAAGACAGCTGGCAGGGAGGTCGTGGCAATGGTGCCTGGAGGAAGCGGGCGAGGGATCAGAATTAACCCCCACTGCACCGCACGCCTAGCTCTCTCCCGCTTCCTGGGGGCCGTCAGCCCGTGTGCTGACCCGAGTCTACACGACCTTGAGGTCTGCCAGTCCTGGACTGCAACTCCCAGCTCTTAAAACTGCTGTGTGCAGCTGCGGGTGGCTCAGTGGCCAAGCGCTTGCCAAGCATGCGTAAGGCTCCAGGTTCCACCCCAGCACTGCAGAAAATAACTGCCGGGTGATTTCAGGCGAGTTACTTGGCTTCCCTGTCTCAGGTTCCTCAAACAAAAAGTAAGAATACAGTTGGCCCTGGGCTGGGGGTTTAGCTCAGTGGTACAGTGCCTGCCTGGCAAGCGCAAGGTCATGAGTTCGATTCCCAGTACCAGGAAAAAAAAAACAAACAGAATACAATTGGCCCTCTGTCTCTACAGGGCTCTGAATCTGTGGAGTCGACCCACTGCAACTGAAAAAAATGTTTTTAAACTGTGCCTGGCTAGGCTTGGTGGTACGCAGCTGTCATCCCAGCACTCTGGGAGGCTGAGGCAGGAAAATCACAAGTTTGAACCCAGCCTGGGCAACTGAGTAAGACCCTGTCTTAAAATAAAATACAAAGCTGCCTGGCAAGCACAAGGTGCTGAGTTCAATTCCCAGTACCAATAAAATAAAATGAAATAAAATAAAATACAAAGAAGGGCTAGGAACGTAGCTCAGTAAAAGCCCTGATCCCAGTTCTCCACACTGAAAAACACTGTCTGGACTGAGTGATGTCCACTCTTTCTTGTCATTGTCCCTAAGCAACACAGTATAACAACTATTAACGTCTGCATCCCGCTAGTGTCTTTAGTTGTTTGTTTGTTTTTTGAGAGAGGGTCTCGCTGTGTATTCTAGGCTGGCCTCGAACTCATGATGACCTTCCTGCTTAGCCTCCTGTGTGCTGGGATCACAGGCGTGTGCCACGACGCTTGGCCCACCTGTGTACTTTCTTTCTTTCTTTCTTTCTTTCTTTCTTTATTTATTTATTTATTTTGGTGTTTTGGTTTTTTTTTACAGTACCAGGAATCGAACTCACAACCTTGCGCTTGCTAGGCAGGCGCTGTGCCTCTGAGCTAAATCCCCAGCCCTCCACCTGTGTACTTTAAATTACTTTTAGATAAATAAATAAAGTATACAGGAGAATCACATATGTCTGTACAAATACTAAACTTTCTTTTTTTTTCTTTTTCTTTTCTCTGCCGGGGTGAAACTCAGGGCCTCACACACGCGAGGCAACTGCTCCACCTCTGAGCAGCATCACAGGCCGTCCTTGCATGCGAGGCCTCCAGCAGGCCTGGGGTGGGGAGGCGGAAACCGAGCCCCTCAGATGTTGAGGCCCGAGGATGCATTTCAGAGCCCTTTTGAGGATTAAGTGAAGCAAGCCAGAGTCCCTACAATCCGTGCTGGTGACACAGAAGGTGCTCCATAAGTGCTGGTCATTACTGCGTCCACAGAGGCACAGGAAATCGATGGAGTATGTCCGAGGGAGGGGTGTCGGGCGCGCTGCCTTTCCCCCGCCCCCCGGCCTCTGCCACAGGCCCTTTAGCCAGCTACACTGACCTCCAAGGACCACAAATGGAAGAGGAGGGGGAAGGAACACTAACTTGCAGGGGCGGGACTGAGCCCAGGCCTCACACACGCTAAGGCACGGCTCTGCCACCGCAGCCCTCAGGCTTTCATGTCTTCTTTCTTTTTTTTTTGTCTTTTTGAGACAGGGTCTCCCTATGCAGTTCAGGCCGGCCTTGAGCTCACTTTGTAGCCAAGGCTGGCCTCGAACTTGCAAGGGTCCTCTTGCCTCAGCCTCCAGAGTGCTGGGATTACAGGCGTGCACCACCACACCTGGCTTTTCCTATTTCCATAGAGACAGCGGCTAGCTTTCCCACCCGGCATCGGGCCAAACACATGCCCTGAAGCCCTTCCCGCATTTCCCATCTAATCCAGTCCAGGTCCTGCAGGCTCAAAAGGAAGAGAACATCAGTGCAGAGCCGCCCGTGAGCAATCTGGTTAGACACTGGGACCAAACGCAGGCGTGGTGGTGCAGACCTATAATCCCGGCACCCAGGAGGCTGAGGCAGGAGGTGCACCATGAATTGGGGGCCACCTTGGGCTAATAAGGTGTTCAAGGCCAGCCTGAGTTACATAGCAGGACCCTGTCTTGAGAGAGAGAGACAGAGAGACAGAGAGACAAGACAGAGAGAGAGGGAGGGAGAGCAGAAGCTGGGGCAAAGCCGGAGGGTAGTGCTCAGTCTGTCCACTCCCTTTGGGACCTCCACCCTCTGCCCTCCCCATCCTGCCCGCCCACCCCCTGCTCCTCACCTGCCCCGAAGCATCACCTCCTGGCCGGTTTGTCGGGCAAATTAAATAAAATAGTGTGTGGGAAGTGCTTGCATCCTAATAAGAGCTACAGCCTCAGCTGGACCTGTGAGGCTGGCGGCCATGGACCCGTGCCATGCAGTGAGGCTGTGCCCCAGCAGATGCTCAGGTCCTGTTTGCTAGGACGGGGCGCTCCCGTCTCCCACCTCTGAGAGTTCTAGGCGGCATCAGCTCCCTTTTCTACTTGGGCTCTTGGCCCCAAGAAGCCATAAGCAGCTTCTTCTCCTTCTTTTTCCTCTTCCTCCTCTTCATCTTCTTTTTTGTCCTTTTGTTTGTTTTTTGGTACCGGGAATCGAACTCAGGACCCTGTGTTTGCCAGGCTAGCTGTGCCACCGAGCTATATCCTCAGCCCTCCTTTTTGTC